TTTAAAAAATAGCTAAAACACATAGACTGAAAATGACTGTTTGCTTTAAAAAATGAATTGAGAAGCCAGAGATAAACTCAGTGTTGGAAAAAGCACCTGTTGTACAAGCCTGAAAACTTGTATTTGATTCATTGAATCCATGAAAAAGCAGAACACGGTGGTGTACATTTATAATCCCAGCACCCTTATGGTGAATGAGAGGGGGAGGAAGAAGAATTTGCTGGAAGCTCAAGTAAGCAGCATAGCTACAGAAATAACAAAACTCTGCCTCATAGCTGGGCTGTGGTGCTGCACACCTTCAGCCCCAGTACTTGGGAGGCAGAGGCAGAAGGATCTCTGTGAGTTCAAGGCCAGCCTGGTCTACACAGAGAAACCCTGTCTCAAAAAAACAAAAACCAAACCAAACCAAAACAGAACAATAACAAAACAAATATCCTGCCTCAAAAGATAAGATAAAATGAGACAATAGACTCCTGAAAAATTGTCTCTGACCTTCACATATGTACTGTGATATGCAAACCCTTAGAGATCTTTGGTATTTCTCTTCTTCTTATACATTCTCTTTCAAAAACAAAAATTCTGGAGCATAGTGGTATTAATTATAATAGCTGTAATAATTTCTTGAATACTTTTATGTACTAGACATCATGCTTGAAAAAAAAATACATTTGTTATGCCATTTAATCCCCAAAAGAATCATATGAGACAAGTACCAACATTACCATCTATAGTTGGTACTACAGATTTATAGTTGAGAAAGCTGGGGTTCGAAAGTGAAGAAATCTGCCTACAACCATGTAGCTAATATTGGAGTAAATATTCCAACCTAGTTACTTGACTCTGTTTCTCTCATAATCAGAATTTCTGCATATTCTTGACTACTAATAGATGGAAAACCAGACGAGGGGGAGCACACATGTAATCCCAGTGTTTGGGAAGCTGTGATAGGAAGGATGCTATAACTTCAAGACTAGCCCAGGATATATACTTGTGGGAATTAATTTCTACATAAAAATATGCAAGTCAATGGAAAAAAAGACTGACTGTGTTGAGGACAGTTGGAAACTATTATGAAAAATCAACATTTTTAACCCTCAAGAATTCACTGACTTATTAAAAACTGTTTAGATTTATTTTGTATGCATTCGTGTCTTGCTTGAACGTATGTCAGCACCATGTGCTTGCCATGTCAGAAAGGGCCCCGGATCCTCTGGAACTAGAGTTATGCACAGCCCCATTGTCTAATCTTATGGAAGCAAATGCATATACATTAACACAAACAAACACACAAACAAATAAATAACAAATCACATTTTCAAGCAAAAAGGTCTTTGGCTAAGGTTGCTCTATTGGCAAATACACAACAGTATGACTGTGTTAATGATGCCACCTAATGGTGACCAAACAGATGTACTCAGACAAAATCTAGAAGAATGGTTTTCTTCTCTCTCTCTCTCTGTTTTTAGAGACAGGGTTTCTCTGTATTGCTTTGGAGGCTGTCCTGGAACTCCCTCTGTAGACCAGGCTGGCTTTGGACTCACAGAGATCCACCTGCCTCTCTGCTTCTGCCTCCCGAGTGCTGGGACTAAAGGCATGTGCCACCAATGCCCGGCGTTTTCTTCTCTTTTTAAAAAGATCTTAAGATTTATTTTATTTTACATGTATGGATGTTTTTCATGTGTTCATACATGTGTGAAAGCCTGATGCCTGTGGAAGTCAGCAGAGGGTACTATATCCCCTGGAATTAGAATTACGAATGATTGTGAGCTACCATGTGGAGCTGGGAATTGAACCCAGGTCCTCTGCAAGAGCATAAATGTTCTTAACTCTTGTGCCATTTCCCCTGGTGGTGGGGCTTACTCTTCTAGACACAGAAGTACAGTATTTATAAAATTAATAAGCCTTCTGAAGACATGATTAAAATGAAGAGAACAAGTAACCTAACCTAGTGGTCCTACTAACCATGAGTCACACAGAGGACATGCACTCCATCCCCTTAATAACCTCTATTTTGTAACCACGACTTATATAAGTAGCAACTATGCTTAAAGAATGATGAGGGTTCCAATACACTCCAATTTCAAGTTGCAACCTTTCAATTAAACTTAAAAATGGGGAGATCATTGGTAACTGAAAAATACGACTTCATTTTAAGATCTAATCTTTTTGGATTTTTAAGTGACCATTTGGTAAACATTCAATCACAATTAACAAAGTAGAACTCCATCCAGAAAGGCAACTTCCACCATAGAAAACAGTGGATATGAATTACAAAACATTTTCATATTACTTTTAAGCATGATTTTTAGTAGACAGAATCATGACAAAGAATGAATTTAATCTTCAGTCTTTAAAACTGGATTTTTTTGTTAGTAATTTACTTAAATTTATTTTATGTGCATTGGTGTGAGGGTGTCAGATCCCCTGAACTGGAGTTACAGACAGTTGTGAGCTGCCACGTGGGTGCTGGAATTGAACCTGGAACCTCTGTAAGAGCAGTCAGTGCTCCCTCTTAACTGCTGAGCCATCCCAACAGCCCCTAAAACTGGATTCTTAATCCCTTATTTTGCTACAAAGTCTGCCTAGATGGCTGTGTTTCCAAACAGACTACTTTTCTAACATGGTTACTTAGCCTCTAGACTAAGTGTTGTATGACTGTAAGGTAGAGGAGTCTCCTTCACCAGCACAAAAAAAAAAGGACACAGAATGTCAACATCACCACATCTAAGTGAGAGCTACATAAAGGCTCCTAAAAGAAAGATATATAATCAGAACTTCCCAACCACAGCTATATACCTAAGATAAAAACAAAATAAACAGACCCAGCATGGTGGCGAATGCCTTTAATCCTAGCACTCAGGAGGCACAGGCAGCATATCTGTGGGTTCAAGGCCAGCCTGGTGTACACAGTGATTTCTAGGACAGCCAGGGCTACATAGTGAGACCCTGTCTCTAAAACAAAACAACCGGACAGCAACAACAAATGGAGATTCTTAAGTGGAGGAAGCTCAGAGGTCCTTGTGCTCACAGATAAGAACTAGAGAAAACAAGGAATGCTAAACATGCCAGGTGGCCTCATCAAAGGCAAAGACTATACAACCTGTTTTCAGAGCAGAGGTAGTTAACAGTCTGGTGACCTTTGCATTGTGTGGGCAGACCACACCACACCACACCTTCCCTTATCATAAGATTGTTTTCCATGATTAAGCTATAGAATCTATCTTCATGGAAGATGCCACATGTACTTCACAAAGTTTTGACATGGGATTGAGTTTATTATCACCAAGAAATTTTTCCACCAAATTGTGCTGTGCTTAAATATGACTAAAAGAAGCTATCTGGGATCAGACTCTTAAGTTGTGTTAAATGGAACTGCCTTATCTCATGTGGATGACACTGTTGACCATGATAGTCACAGAGACCCCCTATAATAAATGATAAAAGTTTGTTACAATTTATGAAGGAAATGGTAAATTAAAAAAATCTGTGCAGTGGTGGTGAGTTCCAGGATAGCCAAAGCTACACAAAGAAACCCTGTCTTGAAAAACCAACCAACCAGCCAGCCAGCCAGCCAGCCAGCCAACCAACCAACCAACCAACCCAAACTTGAGAAAATGAGGAGCTGGAAAGATGGCTCCGTGGTTAAGAGCAAGGGCTGCTCTTACAGAGAGCCCAGGTTCAATTCTTCCATCCACATGACAGCTCACAACCAAGTATAACTCCAGTTCCTCCACAGGTGCCAGATAAACATACAGTGCAGATATACACACAGCCAAAACACTGACATACACTAAAAACTAAAGCTGAGAAAATTCTAATCACATTCCATTAAACTGGAACATTGATCAAGGGTAGAAGTGCTCACTCACGGAAACAAAGATTTTACTTTTCCCTTACATTAATTCTGTACTAAACTTCATTGTTATTTCTTTAGTATTATTATGTGGGTCTGTGTGAATGGGTATGTGTGCACTGTAGTACATGTGTGGAGGTCAGACAATAACTTTTGGGAAGAGTCAATTCTCTCCTTCAACCATCTGGGTCCCAAGTAAAGACTCCAGTTCTGAGGCTTGAACTCAGCCATCTGACTGGCTCTGTATGTTGTATGCTTCTAAATCTTTTACTGAATACCTGGATCAGTGGAGATGGAATAATAATGCCTTTATTGAAGACATTTTACAGTTTACTAATGTTTCTCATGCATATACAATAAGAAACAAAACTTCCTTGCTTCAAATTTGCTTCTTAAAAAAATATAGACAGCTGGGCATGGTGGTGTACACCTTTTAATCCCAGCAGAGGCCAAGGCAGGCAGATCTCACTGGTTTGAGCCCAGCCTGGTCTACAGAGTGAGTTCCAGAGCAGCCAGCCAAAGCTACACAGAGACACTCTGTCTGAAACAATGAATAAACAAACAAATGAGTATATCTCTGGGGGTTGTGTGTGTGCATGAGTACTATGGTGCCCATGTGGAGATCAGAGGACAACAGGTGCTGATTCTTAAGTCTATTATTGTATGATGCACACTAGCAGGCCCATGGCCTTCTGGGAATTCTCCTGCCTCCATCCTCATTTTCCCATAGAAACAGTGCCACCCTATCTAGCTTTTCAGGTAATCTGGGGATTCAAACTTAAGTCCTCAAGCTTGTTCAGAAAGCATTCTGCCCACTCCTCAAATTTCTATTAAAATAACAATTGTACATAGGTGAAATAATCATTACTTCAAAACCTAAAACTGAAAAAAGTTTTCTGGTTCAGCTAATTTAAGTAAACAACCATATATGCTCAACCGTCTTCCCCCTTTCTCCTTTAACTCTTCAGTTCCAAAGGAATTGAAGAGCACAACAAGAAGCCGAACTTCAGGCACTGGTCTCGGGATCAGAACACTTATAAAACATTGAAGCAATTAAATAGAGTTCAGAACCGCAGCTTCTGATGGAATGCACCAGCAGAGACAGAATCTCCTTTGTTCTTGTTCATTGAAAGAAAGTCATTCTTACCAGATAAAGCAGAAAGGTGTGTAATCCTGTTCCAAGACCAACAGAGGACAAAATCCCCAAGCCTATCCAGTAGGCATACAAAAGAAACTGCTTCTCTATCCGCTGCACATACTGAAAAGAAAGGGACAAGGTATAAACTGGAACATTCTGCCCAGTAGAGTGCAGCAGTAACAACTACCCACATGACCAACCAGCTCAACAAAGCTCCAAGAAGCTAAGAAACATTAAGACCAAAATCTCCTTGAAGAAGTCTCATTCTGTTAGTGTACTACAGCAGAGAGGACAGAAATCAAAACCCCCAAACCCCCAAAACAAAACAAAAACCCAACTCATTCAAGCAGAATAAGTTGGCATTGGGGAAAAATGAGAAACAACTACTACTATGGTAATCATTAATCTTTTTTCTTTTTTCTTTTTCATTTCTTGAGACAGGATCTCATACTATAGCTCAGCTTGGCCTGGTATTGTCTGTGTATACCAATTTAGCCTTGAATTTCAGTTGGTCCTCCTGATTCTACTTGCTGGCTGGTGTGATTACACATGTGTGCTACCTTGCCCAGCCTTGCATAGTGAGACTAAGAATAAACATTTAAAGTGACTTTAAAATGACAAACTTTAAGAAGACATAGGACAGTGCTACTATACATTCTCTGTGAATAGAAAACTTGAGGAATACTCAAAAATAGTGGTAAAGAAAGGGGGCAATGAGCTAGGTGTGGTGGCACAGGCCTTTAATCCCTGAGGCAGAGGCAGAGGGAACTGTGTGAGTTCCAGGCCAGTCTGGTCTACACAGTGATTCCAGCACAGGAAGGACTATGTAGATATTCTGTCTCAAAATGAAGGGGATGTAGGGTGTGGGTGTGTGTGGAGGGGTGGGGAATCACACATTTTTGTAAATAGAATATAATCTTGATTATTCAAATACATGTTTAACACCAAGTTGTTAAAATACATTTCAAATATGAGCAAAATAAAGTCCAGTGTAAGAATGATACCTTGTGATTTATTTTGAGACAAATGTCTAGTGTTAAAAAAAAAAAAAAAAAAGCCAAGAAACTGATTACAGAGTATTTGTTTTTGCTTATTTGTTTATTTACTTATTAAGAGGCAGCAATTCATTATGTATCCATGGCTAGTTCGGGACTCTGCAAAACAGGTTAATTTCAAACTCATGGTGATCTCCCTGCCTATTCTGGACTTACTGGCATGTGCCACCATGGCTAGCTTGATTGCAAACCCTTACCAACAAATAAAAATTACCTACAGGAAACACATTCAATATAATAATAAAAAGCACCTTCTCTGACATTTGAAGCAAATTACTTTAGCATGAAATCTGTTCGGATGGGTCACAAAGGCATAGTATAGACATTATGAAGGCTTTGTGGTGGAGATGAAAGGACTCATGCTGTTCTGACTTACCTTAAATCTTTTAAGGTAAAAAGAAATCCTAAAGGCTAAAATAATGTTAACCGGCTACAAAACAGTGCTTGGGTATGTTCAGTGTATGGGATAAGACATTAAAATACCAAGTTATTGCCAGAGCTGTTACACAGAGAAACCCTGTCTGGAAAAAAAGTGTAGAGGGTATAAATTCCTTGAAACTTGCATTTGTCCCATTCTGAAATGTCATATGATCACAGAATGCCAAGCAGCAGGGACTTCCTCAATATCATACCTGTTGGTGTGCTCCTTCCACACAATACGTAGCTATAAGCACAGCGAGCAGCAGTAAAGAAGACACCACCATGTTTTGATGATGCCACAACCTTAAAAACAAATTGAAAAAGAAAAACAATCTCACATTAATCTTGCAATTTGCAGAAACAGTCTTTGGGATGTAAAAAAGAGTCAGTCAAGGTACATGGGCCCAGAACCAGAATTATCACATAGCCTTACCACAGCCATCTCTGTGCCCAAAGCCCAATCTTGTTCACGCCTCATCTTTTAATTTGGAGAGGTATTATCATGCAACAGGAAGAGGGCAGACTTCAAAGGGTGGGTCAGACACTCTGAGCTGCTCTTGTAGCAGGACACTTAACCTTTCTGATTTTGTTTTTTTTGCTTTTTTATAAAAATGATTTATTTATTATGTGTACAGTGTTCTGCCTTCATGTATGCCTGCAGGCCAGAAGAGGGCACCAGACTTCATTACAGATGGTTGTGGCCATCATGTGGTTGCTGGAAATTGAACTCAGGACCTTTAGAAGAGCAGTGAGCGCTTTTAAGCACTGAGCCATCTCTCCAGTCCCAGTTTTTGCTTTTAAAATTGTAATAATAATACTATATTTGCTTTCCCTTCTTTGTGGACCTCCTACAGGATCAAATGAGCTGAACATTGTTAGAAAATGTTTCATAATTTTTAAGTAAAACAAAATATAAGGTAACAGTATAGATAATTCAGAAGAATAAGAAAATAATAGGGTATGAAAGTTCAACTTGCTGTCTTGGATATTTCAAATAGCTACAGACAGGACACTTTTTTTTTTTTTTTTTTTTTGAGACAAGGTTTCTCTGTATTGCTTTGGAGCCTGTCCTGGAACTAGCTCTGTAGACCAGGCTGGCCTTGAACTCACAGAGATCCACCTGACTCTGCTTCCTGAAGGCTGGGACTAAAGGCATGCACTACCACACCCGGCTCAGACAGGACTCATTTTATGGCAGTTCTTTTCCAATGGCTATCACAAGATACCACCAGCATCTTGAACTGCTACAGGCTTGGTGTATCTACTGTGCACAGGCCTGATTTCTCTTCATGATAAAGTCAGGAGGGAGAAAACCCACTATCTTTTTAATGTTTTCTCTTGGAAGATCCAACATTAAACAGTAGTCAACTGTAATAACCTGTCAAGCAAATAACATTTCCTCAGTTATTTTTCTTCAAACCAAATGTCCCAATTTGGGAGACAAGTACTCTAAATGAGTTACATCCCCATTCCCATAGTCTAATTCTCTTTAAACTATAGGAAGGAAAAAAATGTTCCTATGATAATGTTCTAAATTTAATTAATCCATTTTGGTGGAACAGATGGCAGGGTGTAAGAGATGGCTGAGGACTTCTAAAATTAGTAAATATGATTTGTATAAAAAGTAACAGAAAACTCTTTACTTTGAGGTCCATTCCTTCAAAACTATAAGAGTTTCCAGAGAAAAATACTGCAAGGTAATGAGCGGCTGTCTCCACAGGACAATATTCTGTCTTTCTTCCCGATCCCTTTTCTTTTTCTCATGTACTGAAGAGGGGTCTGAAAAACAACAGCATGCAAGTTAAAACAGAATTCCCACATCTGTACCACCTTTTCTAAGAGCAAAAGTCAGCACACCATCCCATCTTTTTATCTCTTAGACTGCATGTGTGAAATCCTGGATTTGGTCCTCAGCATCAACAATGAGTGGCAACCAGTGCATTTCGGCAACCAGTGCATTTCATTTTCTTTCTTTCTTTTTTAAAGAATTTCTTTTTTTTAGATTTATTTATTTATTAAGTATATAGTGTTCTGTTTGCATGCATCTCTGCAGGCCGGAAGGAGGGCACCAGACCTCATTATGGATGGTTGTGAGCCATCATGTGGTTGCTAGGAATTGAACTCAGGGCCTCTGTAAGAGCAATCAGTGCTCTTAACCTCTGAGCCATCTCTCCAGCCCCACATTTCATTTTCTTTCTGAGCCAATAAAGATGGCAGAGTTTGGACTAGTTACCATTTCTAAGGATTATAGGACTTCCTATAAATGGTTACCTGGGATATGGATGAAACATTTTTTTATCTACTATATTTCTAAGCAGTCATATATTGTATGTCCCTCTCCATGATAACTAAAAAGAATACTTTGCAAAGTTGTCATTGATAGAAAGAGGTAGGCAAGGTGTACAGACACGTGAGAAGCCATTGAGGCTCAGTATGGGGACCTCCCACAGTCCTTGACTTTCAGTCAGAGATTTTATTCAGATACTTAGTATTATGTCCCTCTCGGTTTAGTGCTTTGGACCCCTTAAGTTTGCGTAGTCTGGATGTTACTCCTTATTTCTACTACTGAACTATACCAGCACCCCCAGGGCTGTTCCTTTCCCATCAGTGTTACCGAGGCAACAACAAACACTGCAAAAAATGAAACAAAACACACAAGCATATTCGTAGCCAGGCGTGTGGTGATGCACACCTTGGGAGGCAGAGGCAAGTGGAGATCTGTGATTTTGAGGCCATCCTGGTCTACAAAGTGAGTTCTAGACAATCATGGCTACACAGAGAAACCCTGAAGCCTTGTCTCAAAAACAAAACAACAAAACAACACCTCACTCCCCCTCAACAAAACAAAACAACCCAAAAACAAAAACAAAAACAAAACAAAAAAAAACCCACAGTTGAATTTGGACTAAAGCTACAAATCTTAGGAATGATCATGTAGTCTAGGTATTTCTCCTGCAATATGTCTGTTTTGACAAGATCTCACACTACATAGCCTTGGCTGTCTGAGCAAAGTGCCTCAGACTCAGATACAGTCTTGCCTCTGTCTCCCAACTGCTGGGATTAAGGGCGTGTGGCATTTCAAAATGTAAAGAGGCAAACTACTTGGTCAGTGAAAGGATCAAGTGAGGAAGGGAATATACATATATGTAAAGCCCCAGAAGGTCACTCACCAATACCCGGTAGTTAGCTATTGATGCTGCCATGAAGTCCTTACCTGGGAAACTCCCATTATGCTGCTCCTTACTCATTGTTACACGTCTCTGGTCACAGTTTTTTCCATTCTCTGCCATTTCATAGATCAATAACTCTGGAGGAGCTAATACAGAAAACAAAGCCCAGCAATACATTAGATTCTTCTGCTTTGCAGCTGAGACTAAAACCAAACACAGAACAACATGACATACATCCCACATGCTAACTGTATGCTGTGTTCACACTTTTTTTAAATAACCAAGAGTTGTATAAATAATTTATATAATTTCATATAAAAGCTTGTGGTTATAAACCTTTTCTAAATAGTTATTCCAGCAAATTGTTTTCCACATTAAAATTTGGGAGCACTTTATTCCCAGAATAAAGGTATCAAGTACTAGCACATTTAAATACTGATAAATTATAGATCTGATATCCATCTAATTCATAAATTAATGTCATACACTATTTGAAATTTACTATTTATTTTTATCATTTCATCTTTTGTAGTAACGTTAACATTATTAGAAAATAAATTCATAAACCCCAAACAAAAAACATTTATGAACCAGGAGGTGGTGGCACACATCTTTAATTCTAACACTCAGGGAGGCAGAGGCAGGTGGATCTCTCTGAGTTTGAGGCCAGCCTGGTCTAGAGTGAGTTCCAGAACAGCTAGAGTTGTTACACAGCGAAACCCTGTCTCAAAAGAACCAAAAATAGCTGGGCCATGGTGGTCCATGCCTTTATTCCCAGCACTCGGGAGACAAAGGCAGGCAGATCTCTGTGAGAGACAAGCCTGGTCTATAAAAGGACAGGCTCCAAAACTACAAAGGGAAACCCTGTCTTGAAAAAAGCTAAAAACCAAAATCCAAAACAAAACAAAAAACCCTAAAAATAAGTAAGTAAATAAATTAATTGTATCAACACAAACACCACAGATCTAAGACCACAGGTCAACTTTATGTAGGAAACATTGTTTCAAATGGTAATGGGCACAGAAGATAAAATTTTCATATTTAAAATACATTAAAAGTTCAAAGCCATTTTGGGCTACTTGAAAGTGAAAGACAAAAAAGTAAAAGTTAAAGAAACCCCTCGCTTGAAATGAAGGACTAACCTAAAAACCAGTATCTGTTCTTTGGAATTTGCTAACTTCCCTTCACAAGGATCTGAGATAACAAGATACCAAGAATTCACACTGCCCCTCCTTTCTTGTGAGTCAATAGGTGGTGAATAGGGTCCTTAGGAAACAAAGAGATAGCTGCAACTCTGGTTTGCCCAGACAAAATTAATTAGCACACCCTGAGGCCCTAAGGTCTGTTGACCCTAATAGTGAGATCATCCGGCCTCAAAGGGTCACATACTCAATGGACAGAGGGTCCCACCCCCTCCCTAAGCTTGTGGGTTTGCCTGTAAAAACACCTGTGCCCAGGGGAGGGGGCTTCTCTCTAGCCTGTGTGCTAGAGGAGCCCGTTTGCGCAAACGTTTCCTGTTCATTAAAGCCTCTTGTGTGTTGCAGCAACTGGACTGGACATTGAGTTCTTGGGGGTACCGACCGAAACTGAGGGCTCCTCATTCTGGGGGTCTTACAAAAGCCTATCTCAAATGGGGGTATATATTCAAATAATATAATTTATTCACCCATAAAGTAAATATGAGTGTGACCTGTTCACAACATCTGCCACCCAACTGATTCAGCTGCCTAAATAGGTATTCTTTTCCTCTCTCACTGTTCCATGTATGTCCCTTCCAAAGATGCATGCTTCGTAGGTTAAGGGGATTGAAGTAGATGTACTACTCCCATGCTAGAACCTCCAAAAAGTTCTCCAAAACTGAGAGCCATCCATGACGCCTTATACATGCAATCTCAGAACTCAGGCTGCGAGCTTAGCCTGGACCACAGTGTAAGACTTTCAAAAACAAGGGCTAGGGAGACAGCTGAGTTAGTGATATGCTAGCCATAAAAGCGTGAGGAACTGAGCTGGATCCCTAGTACTCATATAAAAGTCTAGGTTGGTGGAGTATGCGTGTAAGCACAGCAAGGTGCAGACTTCTAGAACTCACTGAGTCCCAGGTCTCAGTGAAAGACCTTATTTCAAAAAACAAGATAGTCAGTGACTAACAAACAATACCTGAGGTGACCTCAGGCCTTCACCTGCTCACATCTGCATACATATGTGCTGGTATATGTGTGTATGCCAACACACACACACAGCATTTCTTTACACTGTGTGAATATATGTCACTGTGATTGGTTTAATAAAGAAGCTGACTGGCCAATAGCTGAACAGGTAGAAGCAGGACTGGCAGACAGAAAGCGTGAAGAGGAGGAGTCTGGGAGTTGAGAGGAGGTACAGAGAAAGCAGGAGATGAACTTGCTGTACTGAGAAAAAGTACCAAGCCACGTGGCAGAGTGTAGATAAGAAATATGGGTTAATTTAAAATGTAAGAGTTACCTAGTAACAAGCCTGAGCTTTTGGTCAAGCATTTATAATTAATAATAAGTATCTGTATGGTTATTTGGGAGCTGGCTAGTGAGAAATTAAAGTGTACACACACACACACACATAGGCAGAAAAGAAAAAAAAAAGGAAAGGAAAGAAAGTGACTACTGGCTAGGGATAAAATATTTACCTAAAAGACTAATACTTGTTTGTGTGGAACTAACCCTAAATGCTAAGACATCCAAAGGGTAGGAAGTCTGTGAAATAATGAACTTGGAAACTACCTAAACAAGAAAAGCATCCTCATGCTACCTTCTCAGTGATACCATGTGGCTTACTCAGGTGAGGTTATGAGTATGTAAGTCTTTAGGAGAGTCTGGCAGAAAAAAATGAATATATGAGATTAATTACAAAACAACAGAATGAAACAGGTTTTAATGAAGTCAGATGAAAACTGATAGTATACAATTGATTAGAGTTTAACAGAACTAGATTTCAATACAACCTTCACAACCAGCTACTCTAGGAATTTGAACAAGCCTGTAAATCTCTACAAACACATTTAACTTTACTGCTGTTCTGAGACAAGGTCTCACTGTTTAGTCCAAGGTGGTCTGTAACTCACCAAGGAGTACAGACACAACATTATTTCAACCTTCCAAGTGTTGAGAGTACCAGTTACTCTATTTTGTAAAATAGGGCCAAAAATGAGTTATCAACAGGTACAAAACTAAAGGTAATATACACAACATGCAAATACATATAGCCATATAGCCTCTTCTTTGTGGGGGTGGGTGGCTGCACGAGAGAGAGAGTGTGTGTGTGTGTGTGTGTGTGTGTGTGTGTGTGTGTGTGTGTGTATGTGTGTGTGTGTGAAGGTTAGAGGAAGAAGATGTCAGGTTGTCTTCCTCCATTGCTTTCCACCTTTTTTTTTTGAGACAGGGACTCTCACTGAACCTGGAGTTTGTTAATTCAGTTAGCCCGGCTAGCCAAAGAGCTCTAGAGATCATTTTGTCTTGGCATTCACCAGCACTGGGGTTACAGATGTGTGCTGCCATGCCTGGGTTTTACGTGGGTTCTGGGGATCTGAACTCCAGTCCTCATGCATGTGTGACAGTCACTTTACCTGCCATGGCCATCTCCCTACTGTTGCCACACCTTTCACATAAATTCAGTATACATTACCTAACACAATGAAGATGAGTAGTTTTATGGGAACTCAAGAGGACAATGCATTCCAAGTTTTATTGTAAACATTTAAGTCAAATCTCTGTGAAGATATTGTCTAAACACAACATAGCGCATACCATTAACATAAAAAATGACAAAATTATTCTGTGAAAACACATAAAATCAGAGCATTAGAATGGTTTACAAAGAAGAGATCTAGTTTTAACAAAGTCTACTGAGGATTTCTGAAATTGCACTGTCTACAGGAATGAAGTTATTTAACTTGAAGCCATATTTAAGTTTTGAAGACACTGTGGGAGGTTGGCTTTAGTCAAAACCCACAGCCAAACACCCAAATATATCACAACAAATAAGATTTGATAAATTTGTGTCAAAAAACAAACAAAAAACCAGCTGGGTGTTGGTGGTGCACACCTTTAATCCCAGCACTGGGGAGGCAGAGGCAGGAGGATCTCTGTGAGTTTGAGGCCAGCCTGGTCTACAGAGCGAGTTCCAAGACAACCTGCAAAAGCAATACAGAGAAACCCTGTCTCAAAAACAAAACAAAACAAAACAAAACAAAAACAAAAAAAAAAAAAAAAAAAAAACAAAAAAACCCCCAAAACCAAACCAAACCAAACAAACAAACAAAAAACCCACAGAGCATAAAAGTGGGTATGGTGACACACACTTAAATACCAACACTCAGAAGGCAAAGCAGGGGGACTGCCACACATCTGCAGCCAGCCTAGACTACAGAATGAGTCCTAGACGGTGTTGAGATTACGAAACAATGGTCCACACATAGACACATAACACAGAAAGGAGAGGGACAAAAGGCCCTGGGATTACTCTGCATTCTTAAGATGTGTCTGAACAATTGAACACAATTAGAAAAAATAAAATACAACAGTACAGCCACTTTACATTCACTTACTCAACAAATATCGGTCAAGCGCTCATTGGCTGTCAGTCATTATCTAAGATGACAAGCCTCAAACTTTTAATTGCTATTCATATATTTTACTCAGCTATCAACTTAGTTTCATTGTTTTTGGGCAGGGCTGGGGGATGATCTTGGGACATCATGCATACGAGGCAACATTCTTCCACTAAGCCAGGCTCAGCCCTCCATTTTTTAACACACAGAAACAGAGCAAGAGTCTTCAGTCCTAAGACACTCCCTCCCACATGATCAGACTCTGTCACCAAAGGCCACATGTGGGGAACACATCCTACACCACCAACCCTTCACCTTTCTAGGGAATCAGCGCCTTCGGTTCCCTCTGTGTCATCACCTTGGCTTCTTTACTCTCTGGAGCTTAAACATCATCTAGTACTTCCCATTCTGTCCTTCACTGATACAGTTCTCTACAGAGCTGCATACAGACAGTCTACACTTCCTCATCAGCAATGAAGAGAGCCTTCTGACCCCACAGATCAGCTATCAGGAAATGCCTTTCATCAAGAACACTACTGACCTCCATGCTGGCAAATGCAAGACACT